CTGGTGTGTACCTCTGGTTTGTGTGTGTCTCTGGTGGTACTCTGGTTTGTGTGTGTCTCTGGTGTGTACCTCTGGTTTGTGTGTGTCTCTGTGTCTCTGGTGTGTACCTCTGGTTTGTGTGTGTCTCTGGTCTCTGGTGTGTACCTCTGGTTTGTGTGTGTCTCTGGTGTGTACCTCTGGTTTGTGTGTGTCTCTGTGTCTCTGGTGTGTACCTCTGGTTTGTGTGTGTCTCTGGTGTGTACCTCTGGTTTTGTGTGTGTCTCTGGTGTGTACCTCTGGTTTGTGTGTGTCTCTGGTGTGTACCTCTGGTTTGTGTGTGTCTCTGTGTCTCTGGTGTGTACCTCTGGTTTTGTGTGTCTCTGTGTCTCTGGTGTGTACCTCTGGTTTGTGTGTGTCTCTGGTGTGTACCTCTGGTTTGTGTGTGTCTCTGGTGTGTACTCTGGTTTGTGTGTGTCTCTGGTGTGTACCTCTGGTTTGTGTGTGTCTCTGGTGTGTACCTCTGGTTTGTGGTGTGTCTCTGGTGTGTACCTCTGGTTTGTGTGTGTCTCTGGTGTGTACTCTGGTTTGTGTGTGTCTGGTGGTCTCTGGTTTGTGTGTGTCTCTGGTGTGTACTCTGGTTTGTGTGTGTCTCTGGTGTGTACTCTGGTTTGTGTGTGTCTCTGGTGTGTACCTCTGGTTGTGTGTGTGTCTCTGGTGTGTACTCTGGTTTGTGTGTGTCTCTGGTGTGTACCTCTGGTTTGTGTGTGTCTCTGGTGTGTACCTCTGGTTTGTGTGTGTCTCTGGTGTGTACCTCTGGTTGTGTGTGTGTCTCTGGTGTGTACCTCTGGTTTGTGTGTGTCTCTGTGTCTCTGGTGTGTACCTCTGGTTTGTGTGTGTCTCTGGTGTGTACCTCTGGTTTGTGTGTCTCTGTGTCTCTGGTGTGTACCTCTGGTTTGTGTGTGTCTCTGTGTCTCTGGTGTGTACCTCTGGTTTGTGTGTGTCTCTGGTGTGTACTCTGGTTTGTGTGTGTCTCTGGTGTGTACCTCTGGTTTGTGTGTGTCTCTGGTGTGTACCTCTGGTTTGTGTGTGCTGTGTCTCTGGTGTGTACCTCTGGTTTGTGTGTCTCTGTGTCTCTGGTGTGTACCTCTGGTTTGTGTGTGTCTCTGGTGTGTACTCTGGTTTGTGTGTGTCTCTGGTGTGTACCTCTGGTTTGTGTGTGTCTCTGTGTCTCTGGTGTGTACTCTGGTTTGTGTGTGTCTCTGGTGTGTACCTCTGGTTTGGTGTGTCTTGTGTCTCTGGTGTGTACCTCTGGTTTGTGTGTGTCTCTGGTGTGTACCTCTGGTTTGTGTGTGTCTCTGGTGTGTACCTCTGGTTTGTGTGTGTCTCTGTGTCTCTGGTGTGTACCTCTGGTTTGTGTGTGCTCTGTGTCTCTGGTGTGTACCTCTGGTTTGTGTGTGTCTCTGGTGTGTACCTCTGGTTTGTGTGTGTCTCTGGTGTGTACCTCTGGTTTGTGTGTGTCTCTGTGTCTCTGGTGTGTACCTCTGGTTTGTGTGTGTCTCTGTGTCTCTGGTGTGTACCTCTGGTTTGTGTGTGTGTCTCTGTGTGTACCTCTGGTTTGTGTGTGTCTCTGGTGTGTACCTCTGGTTTGTGTGTGTCTCTGTGTCTCTGGTGTGTACCTCTGGTTTGTGTGTGTCTCTGGTGTGTACTCTGGTTTGTGTGTGTCTCTGGTGTGTACCTCTGGTTTGTGTGTGTCTCTGGTGTGTACCTCTGGTTTGTGTGTGTCTCTGGTGTGTACCTCTGGTTTGTGTGTGTCTCTGGTGTGTACTCTGGTTTGTGTGTGTCTCTGGTTTGTGTGTGTCTCTGTGTCTCTGGTGTGTACCTCTGGTTTGTGTGTGTCTTCTGGTGTGTACCTCTGGTTTGTGTGTGTCTCTGTGTGTACCTCTGGTTTGTGTGTGTCTCTGTGTCTCTGGTGTGTATCTCTGGTTTGTGTGTGTCTCTGTGTCTCTGGTGTGTATCTCTGGTTTGTGTGTGTCTCTGGTGTGTACCTCTGGTTTGTGTGTGTCTCTGTGTCTCTGGTGTGTACCTCTGGTTTGTGTGTCTCTGTGTCTCTGGTGTGTACCTCTGGTTTGTGTGTGTCTCTGGTGTGTACCTCTGGTTTGTGTGTGTCTCTGGTGTGTATCTCTGGTTTGTGTGTGTCTCTGTGTCTCTGGTGTGTACCTCTGGTTTGTGTGTCTGTGTCTCTGGTGTGTACCTCTGGTTTGTGTGTGTCTCTGTGTCTCTGGTGTGTACCTCTGGTTTGTGTGTCTGTGTCTCTGGTGTGTACCTCTGGTTTGTGTGTGTCTCTGGTGTGTACCTCTGGTTTGTGTGTGTCTCTGTGTCTCTGGTGTGTACCTCTGGTTTGTGTGTGTCTCTGGTGTGTACCTCTGGTTTGTGTGTGTCTCTGGTGTGTACCTCTGGTTTGTGTGTGTCTCTGGTGTGTACTCTGGTTGTGTGTTCTGTGTGCTCTGTGTGTGTGTCTTGGTGTGTACCTCTGGTTTGTGTGTGTCTCTGGTGTGTACTCTGGTTTGTGTGTGTCTCTGGTGTGTACTCTGGTTGTGTGTGTCTCTGGTGTGGTACCTCTGGTTTGTGTGTGTCTCTGGTGTGTACCTCTGGTTTGTGTGTGTCTCTGTGTCTTGGTGTGTACCTCTGGTTTGTGTGTTCTGTGTCTCTGGTGTGTACCTCTGGTTTGTGTGTGTCTCTGTGTCTCTGGTGTGTACCTCTGGTTTGTGTGTGTCTCTGGTGTGTACTCTGGTTTGTGTGTGTCTCTGGTGTGTACCTCTGGTTTGTGTGTGTCTCTGTGTCTCTGGTGTGTACCTCTGGTTTGTGTGTGTCTCTGGTGTGTACCTCTGGTTTGTGTGTGTCTCTGGTGTGTACCTCTGGTTGTGTGTGTCTCTGGTGTGTACCTCTGGTTTGTGTGTGTCTCTGGTGTGTACCTCTGGTTTGTGTGTGTCTCTGGTGTGTACTCTGGTTTGTGTGTGTCTCTGTGTCTCTGGTGTGTACCTCTGGTTTGTGTGTGTCTCTGGTGTGTACCTCTGGTTTGTGTGTGTCTCTGGTGTGTACCTCTGGTTGTGTGTGTCTCTGTGTCTCTGGTGTGTACCTCTGGTTTGTGTGTGTCTCTGTGTCTCTGGTGTGTATCTCTGGTTTGTTGTCGTGTGTCTCTGGTGTGTACCTCTGGTTTGTGTGTGTCTCTGTGTCTCTGGTGTGTACCTCTGGTTTGTGTGTGTCTCTGTGTCTCTGGTGTGTACCTCTGGTTTGTGTGTGTCTCTGTGTCTCTGGTGTGTACCTCTGGTTTGTGTGTGTCTCTGGTGTGTACCTCTGGTTTGTGTGTGTCTCTGGTGTGTACCTCTGGTTTGTGTGTGTCTCTGTGTCTCTGGTGTGTACCTCTGGTTTGTGTGTGTCTCTGGTGTGTACCTCTGGTTTGTGTGTGTCTCTGGTGTGTACCTCTGGTTTGTGTGTGTCTCTGGTGTGTACCTCTGGTTTGTGTGTGTCTCTGTGTCTCTGGTGTGTACCTCTGGTTTGTGTGTGTCTCTGGTGTGTACTCTGGTTTGTGTGTGTCTCTGGTTGTGTGTGTGTGTCTCTGGTGTGTATCTCTGGTTTGTGTGTGTCTGTGTCTCTGGTGTGTACCTCTGGTTTGTGTGTGTCTCTGGTGTGTACCTCTGGTTTGTGTGTGTCTCTGTGTGTACTCTGGTTGTGTGTCTCTGGTGTGTACCTCTGGTTTGTGTGTGTCTCTGTGTCTCTGGTGTGTACCTCTGGTTTGTGTGTGTCTCTGGTGTGTACCTCTGGTTTGTGTGTGTCTCTGTGTGTACCTCTGGTTTGTGTGTGTCTCTGGTGTGTACCTCTGGTTGTGTGTCTCTGTGTGTCTCTGGTGTGTGTTCTCTGGTTTGTGTGTACTCTGGTTTGTGTGTGTGTCTCTGGTGTGTACCTCTGGTTTGTGTGTCTCTGTGTCTCTGGTGTGTACCTCTGGTTTGTGTGTGTCTCTGGTGTGTACTCTGGTTTGTGTGTGTGTCTCTGGTGTGTACCTCTGGTTGTGTGTGTGTCTCTGGTGTGTACCTCTGGTTTGTGTGTGTCTCTGTGTGTACTCTGGTGTGTGTCTCTGGTGTGTACTCTGGTTTGTGTGTGTCTCTGGTGTGTACCTCTGGTTTGTGTGTGTCTCTGGTGTGTACCTCTGGTTTGTGTGTGTCTCTGTGTCTCTGGTGTGTACCTCTGGTTTGTGTGTGTCTCTGTGTGTACCTCTGGTTTGTGTGTGTCTCTGGTGTGTACCTCTGGTTTGTGTGTGTCTCTGTGTCTCTGGTGTGTACCTCTGGTTTGTGTGTGTGTCTCTGGTGTGTACCTCTGGTTTGTGTGTCTCTGTGTCTCTGGTGTGTACCTCTGGTTTGTGTGTGTCTCTGGTGTGTACCTCTGGTTTGTGTGTGTCTCTGGTGTGTACTCTGGTTTGTGTGTGTCTCTGTGTCTCTGGTGTGTACCTCTGGTTTGTGTGTGTCTCTGGTGTGTACCTCTGGTTTGTGTGTGTCTCTGGTGTGTACCTCTGGTTTGTGTGTGTCTCTGGTGTGTACTCTGGTTTGTGTGTGTCTCTGTGTGTCTGTGGTGTGTGTCTCTGGTGTGTATCTCTGGTTTGTGTGTGTCTCTGGTGTGTACCTCTGGTTTGTGTGTGTCTCTGGTGTGTACCTCTGGTTTGTGTGTGTCTCTGGTGTGTACCTCTGGTTTGTGTGTGTCTCTGGTGTGTACCTCTGGTTTGTGTGTGTCTCTGGTGTGTACCTCTGGTTTGTGTGTGTCTCTGTGTCTCTGGTGTGTACCTCTGGTTTGTGTGTGTCTCTGGTGTGTACCTCTGGTTTGTGTGTGTCTCTGGTGTGTACCTCTGGTTTGTGTGTGTCTCTGGTGTGTACCTCTGGTTTGTGTGTCTC